ATGCATCATTCATATTAAATTAGACAAAGAAATTAAAGTCGACCCGTAGTTACATGGAGAGTTTGGTTTTTTGGATAAATAATAGATGGCAATGATTCGTTCTCGTTCGGTAACACTGATTTTTAGTTTTTGGATCTTTGACCATATATAGCTTTTGAGAGAGAAAATTTCAATCAATCATGGACACTATCTTTATTACAGAAATTTGATGTTTTGGCAACTAGAGAAGCAATATGTGTATATGCTCAAAGTTAAAGGAAATGCAACAAAGCAATGACTATTCCGTAGCCGTTTCATCCATTTTGGGTATTATTGGGGGCTAATAAAGTGTTGTGGGGGTCGAAAAAGAATAAATAAGAGATAAAAAGAGTGGAACGTACGCTTTTGGGTGTGCTTGTTTCTGAAAGCTACAAACTTAAGTCGGATGCGCGCACAATTTGCAAATATTATTGTATAGTTTAATGTCGCTTCAGGTTAATTTTTGATTTCACCAAAAAGGTTTTTCACCCGCAAAAGATGATTGAAATCAACGACTTGAGTGCATCAGTCCAAAGGAATTCAATTCGAATATATGGTTTAATTTATCTGATCTTATCTTGTCTAATCTAAATTTAAATTCTAATAAAATATTACATCATAATATGTTTCTTTTTAAATTAAAGAAGAACAGCACTACTAATTAATAATAAAGTATCCGGTCTTTTTCTTTTCTTTTCTTTCACTTTTTCAAAATCTTTGCTTCATTAAGTTTCCCCCTTTCTTCTTCCCTGTTGTTGTAGTTTTAAGGCAAGCGGGTCCCTGCGGGAAGACTTATTTCATCTTGGCGTGTGCCGTTGCTATGTATAGGAAGGTCCACAATCATAATTGCTGAGACGGTATTTATTTTATTAAGTTCTTATTATTACAACTGTTAGCATTCGACACAGTTCCTATACTTGTGTGTATATTATTACATTATTTGCAAACTTTGCGCGTCACTCTCCTGCTTACGTTATTAGCGCATAGCAAATAATTGAAGCCATATTTTAACAATAAAATAAATTCTACATGGAATTTCACATAATATCTATACTAAATCCAGTTCTTAATATAAAATTTAGTTTATAATTTAATTTGAATGACAAACTAAATATTATATTAAGAACCAGAAGAAGATAGTATGTATTATCATGCATTCTAATCTTCTAAATATATAACTGCAATAAGCTTATCAATATTTGACTGCATGGACATGTTGATTGCGAAGTTCTTTACCCCTTTTTTCATCGGATTAAAGATTAAAAGGGTCTAGAGGTTGAATCGGACAGCACATAGGAAGTAATTTAAACTTTTGGTTTTTAGTTTTAAAATCTTAAAACATCATATACATATCAACTACAGCTTGGAATGTATGAATAAAACTTCTTATTATATGCGCTGGAAAATATGGTTGAAAGTTTCTTTATATGGAGGCATTATGTTGTTTGACTCGCTAGTGCTCTCCTTGCAAGCATTTGGCCCTTGTTAAAAATTTTCCAACCTAATCCAACTTGCTATCTCGCCAGAAGGCGACAAGGCAAAACCAACAACAAATTAAAAGCACCAATTCATATAGCTGTGAAGGAACCTCTCGATCGATCCCATCCCCATCACAGCCCATATTACTATTCTTTCTCAGTTAGTGGAATATAAAAAGCAAAACCCTAGTCTTAAAAGCCTATAATCTCAGTGGCGAAGATATTCAAAAGAAAAGCGAAGGAAAAAACACAACCCCTGAAACATAGAGAGCATCAATGGCTCCTCCTCACTGCCTCAGCAAAGTCCAACATTACAGCCTCATAAACCACTTGCTCTTATGTTGTAGCTTGTAAAGGATATAGTACCCTACCCAATTGCTCTTGTCACCTCTTTTTACCTTTATAACTATTTGGTATTGCGTGAATTTCATAAACTTACAAGGATTATAAAACGGAAAAGAGGAACATTCCAATGATGTCCTTGTGAAAGAAACTGATGATATGATGAGACCATTCCAAGTTGGTCACCGAAATATATATATGTTGGACGTCGACGCAGTTATATATAATATTTATTGTCGTATTTGGAGACAAACATTGTGATGATTGGTTGGTGATTAGTGATTAGATCCCCATTTATGCATGCTTACCACTTTCCCTGAATCACTTTTCTCAGGGACTGTTTTTGACCTTGGCTGACATTAGCCATTAAGACTGCTTCTTCTCCATTTTGCATTTGTAGGCCCTAACTGAGTAATATGGATGGGGCTTTGAATCGCTAAAATGTGTGTATTTGGCGTGACCAAAACCTTTGTTAGCTTTGTCTCTTCGTGAAATTTGTGGCTTACGATTCTTTATCCTTCGTTTCGGATATTTGTGTGGGAGGAAATGATTAAAGCTGAGAAACATTATAATTTGCTTTAATTTGTGCTTTCTATTAATTGGTGGCAAATTGAGAAATAGAAAGAATTCCCTGTTTATTTCGTTATTGGGATACAATCAGACTGAATTTTCTGTGGCTAACAAGGACAAATAATAATGCGTTGTGTTCACTGCGTCCGCATTAATGATTATTTGTCATCAGATAGCCAGGTCAATGTCATATATATGTACTGGATACATCATTTCATATTATTGGCAGTTTTTAGTTAGTTTATACATTGCCATAGTAAATGATATCAGTGTTGAATGGATTAACCATTTGGTGCACTTCCTCACAGTCAAATGATTAGTTGCTATCGAAATACTTTTCGTTAATTGTGCAGAGTTTTTGCTAAATATAATGCAAAAAAATTAACTACTTTGGATCAGTTACATCCCATACCGCAAAAAAGGATCGGATACCAAGATTTTAAAACGTACAAGCAACTAAGAGTTTACTTTCTGGACAATTTTAGTGGGAATAGCTTATATATCTTTGTCATGCACTGCAAAAATTAAAGCCTAAGTTATGGACACCAAATTGCCATTTGGACACCACAAATTAATGTACGTAATTCCACACTTGATTCCCGCCGGGACGCGATGATCCATTAGTTACGAAACCGAAACCGTGGCTACGACTGATTCAAAATCATCAGTTTTAAGTAATTTTTGCATATATACGACCTAGGTTGATGCCTGAAACTTCAGTTAATAATTAATAAACACATATAGATATACTCCATGGAAACCCATACTGGAGCTTCTCATGTATTTTTTTTCCCCCCTTTGTTAGGAGATTCTGCGGTCTGCGGAGACAAATGGTAGTGACCACTCAAATCAGTGCACTTCGGACGTCTATTTGTGGAAAATCTGTTCCACATATATGTGGCCCTCTTCCCCCTTGTTCATTTGTTTGCTAGATTTTTGCTTATCTTCTTCTCCTTTCTTTTTCCTCATTTCTCTATATATTGTTCATTAGTCTTTTTGTCGTAGCATGTTTTATTGGAATTCTGCCATATATGATTAGCTTTTATAATATGGTACGCATGCGATCATCAATATAATCAACTATAAAATATAAAAGTCATATCAATAATATTAAAAGGCAGTGCGTCACAAACTGTGATTAACAAAACTTTGTTATTTTTGAGAGAGAGAGTGAGAGAGATGCGGAGAAAAATTGGGGTTGATGCTTTTTGTTTATTGTGGCGTAGGAGAAAGATTAATCTTTTGCTGTATCAGCCAGCAGTGGGGAAGTGAAACAAATTAGGACGAACCTTTCTTTCTAATCTATGTGAAATGTGATTAATCAATAGACACTAATGTTAAGAGCGATGGAGACTGCATCAACCAAAGTGCGTCATCTTTCAATTGAAAATATGGGAAAGAAAAATTCAAGAAAAAAAAAAAGATTAAAAATTATATTAAAGAAACAAATAAAAGTAAACTGAAAGGTGGTCGGCAGGAGAGCACGACACAGAAGATTCGCACAAATGATATAACATTATGAAAAGGAAAATTCCCAACCAAAACTTTTGCATTTTCCAATGAAATTAAAATGCGCATCGCATATCTCAGACGTTTATATTGAGCCAAATAAATCTGATATATATAGAGTGATGACAATAATTCAAACTCTACTACTGCATGCATCCTCCAACGTACTGTCCTAGTGATGATTGATGACTCGTCAACTTGAATCGAATTTATGACCAAATTGGCAACCTCCCATGTATGTTGTCTTGTCAAGAAGCAACTGATCATGGTAGAAAATCTACCAAATATTGTGCGAGTTGACCTCGTAATCCAACGCTATATATATATATATATATATATATAAATTTTACCTCATGCAGGTTTGGCGTGGTTTTAAAAGAATGTTATGTGATAAATCTTAAAAGAGTTGTTAAGATTAAAAGCAGAATGAAAATGGAAGAAGATGGTCCAAGAAAATGAAAAAGAGAGAAAGGAATTGATGATGAGGAGTAAACAAGAATGAAAGAGGTGTCCAAGTCGGGACACTGTTCCGGTGGATGAGGGTATGGAAGAAGTTCGCCGCGTCGTGAAAATGCTTACAATAATAGTATGGTGACGCTGTCCCCACTTCCCACTAATATCGTTGTCGTCACCGTTCACCATTCTTTCTTTTATTTCTTCGGGACCCACCCACCTTCAATCCTCATCTTCATTAATTGTTCACGTCTCAAACTCATTTTTCCTTCCTCCATCCATCCATCCATCCATGTATAACTCTAATACATGCATAATAATGCAGAGTTTAATCTCCTTTTTTGTACTGGAGATAAAACGTAGATCCTCCAATCAGTCGAGTTGCTACATGGTACATACATAATAGTTGCATTTAAACTATAAAAATTAGACCACACAGTCTAAAATTGAAAAGCGTTTGTTTTGAGTACCAATTTAAAATGAGAATGATCTTACATGTTACATTATCGGGTTACTTTAACATGAACCAGTAGTGGAAGAAGTCACGTGTAAAGGTGAGATCAGCAAAGCTCTCGCACGCTTGCCCAGGAAGGCCTATAAATACGAGGGAAGGCCTGCGTTTTACACTTAGGAGGCGACACAAACAAGTTCAAGTGTGTGTAACTCCTCTGTGGTTCAGGAATCCATCAAAGAAGAAGAGAGAGATGGAAGGGAGTGGATGTTGTTGTAGGAGTTTTCTTCAGAGATGTAAGCCTTACATTGCTATGGTTTCCCTTCAATTCGGGTATGCTGGGATGAACATAATCACTAAGGTCTCTCTCAACAGAGGGATGAGCCATTACGTGCTCGTGGTTTATCGTCATGCCTTCGCCACAGCAGCCATTGCCCCTTTCGCTCTTGTTCTCGAAAGGTGTATTTACTATCCTTTTCATGCTCAGAACTGGAACTTTAATTTTTATCCTTTTTCTTGAATCCATATTCTTATCATCTTCTTCCTACTTCTTCTTGTGGTCTGCAGAAAAGTGAGGCCAAAGATGACGTTTCTCATGTTCATGCAAATTTTCGTGCTGGGTCTGCTCGGGTTAGTAATTTTGTCGATCCCCTCCTGAACTTGAAGGTATTTGTGTTCATCATACTGAAAACGAGTGTTTCTAAATGTTGGCTTCCTCTGTTTCTGCAGGCCCGTGATTGATCAAAACTTGTACTACGCGGGATTGAAATTTACTTCCCCAACGTACTCATGTGCTCTCAGCAACATGCTCCCTGCAATGACATTTGTGATGGCTGTTCTTTGCAGGTAGTTATTTCCCTACAGAAACAGTTGAACAAATATACTTTCTTCTTCTGCTTTCTTGTTCATCTGATCTGACAATGGCGTTGGATAAACTAGGATGGAGAAGGTGGACCTGCGAAAAGTCCGATGCATAGCGAAAGTGATAGGAACCATAGTAACAATTGCCGGGGCCATGTTGATGACGTTGTACAAAGGTCAAGTCATCAACTTTTTCTGGACTCAGTACATGCATCGTCCTAGAGATTATGCCTCAGTTAGCCCCTCTGATTCAGCCGAAAAAGATTGGCTTAAGGGTTCTATTCTGCTCATAATTGCTACCCTTGCTTGGGCTTCTTTCTTCATCCTTCAGGTAACCAAAACACGACAACTCAAACCTATTCATACTCGCTTTTGTATTGCATAAAGCACTTGAAATTGAAGTCCTTTTGGGTTTTCTGATATATATACAGGCAGTGGCGTTAAGGAAATACTCTGCTCAGCTCTCCCTCACGGCACTAGTGTGTTTTATGGGTACACTTCAGTCAATTGCAGTTACCTTTGTGATGGAACACAAGCCCTCGGCTTGGAGTATTGGCTGGGACATGAATCTATTTGCTGCAGCCTATGCAGTAAGTCTGTGTGTGTGTGCGCGCTAATTTTCTGGGATTGGATTAAGAGAGTGGAATTAATACAAGCGATGTTTGGTGAACAGGGAATAATATCATCAGGCATTGCCTACTATGTTCAAGGGATTGTCATGCAGAAAAAAGGGCCTGTTTTTGTTACTGCTTTCAGCCCATTGATGATGATCATCGTTGCGGTCATGGGATCTTTCATCCTCGCTGAAAAAATCTACCTTGGAGGGTAAATCTACATCTCTCTAAATCAATCTTTATAATTCAGCAGAAACTTCACTTTCATGCGTTTTCTCACCACGTGCCCTGTCCTCTATCAGAGTGATGATATTTTCTATCATTGATCACTTAATTTACAGTTTTGTCTCTCTTCCTCATCACAAACAATAACGCTTTTTATCTTTCTCTAAAGCATCGTAATCACTAAGTTAATTTCTAACCTGTTGAATAATTTTATAGCGACTAACGTAAATTTATGTTCTTGTGGACATTACAGTGTGATTGGATCGATACTGATCGTAGCGGGCCTGTACTCGGTTCTATGGGGGAAACACAAGGAGAACCGAGAGAAAGAAGCGGAGATATTAATGCCAGAAACAACCAAAGGATGCACACAAAACGGAAGAATGCAAACTGTTCCGGAAGTTATTGAAGAAAATGACATAGAGATGCAGGAGGATGGAGCTAGAAAAGAATCTGTTCCTGCGGTAGCCATTAGTGTTCCGAAAGCTTGAACCACTAGAGGCTAAACAGAAAACAACGTACAATAACCGCTATGCGAGGGGTTTTTGTACATCACCCCTGGAATTTTTAATTGCAACTTTTGTACCGAAACGAGGTTTAAACTTTTTTATTTTTTGGGGGATTGCGTTTTGGTCAAGAGACTAGTATGAGATAAATCAACTTTGTATCCGTGATGTAACTTGTGACAAATTGTAATCTTTGTTCAAATGAGAATCAAGAGATTGCAGAAGCATTCACTCTGCCTTCCCTGGCATATATAAGAAACAAGATTGTGGAAAACGTACACGAGAGAAGGAAACCTTATCAGAAAGCCTGAAGGGTCTAATCATTCCTGGAAAAATTCTCATTTTCAGGATCTGATACTTGTTATTTTCCCACCTAGTTGATTCATCTCACTTCATTGGTACTTGAACACATAAGCTTATCCATCGTACAAGGCATGATTTTCCGACTTCCCGACTACCACATGAGCTGGGGATCTCTTTCAATGGGATTTACCGTTATGTCCTTTTTATTTATCAGATGCAGAGTTACACAGCTAAAAGGAACCAGTCCCTAACGCTTGTTGCTGGCAGAGCAAGTATTAAAGCATAAACTATCGTAAGTATTTCTGTTAGTGTTTTTGGAACCTAAAAGCATGTTTTGGCTTTGATGAGCTCTCGAAATCCAACTCATTTAAACTTTTCTTGTTTCAACAAAAGCCAAAAAAGCATGAGCTATCCACTAACCTATGAAATGATTCTTGCTGGTTGTATTAACCACTTAGATTTTTCTGCATGAGAACTGGAAGATAAAGTTCTCTCTTTTAATTCAGCAATATTAACAATACCTGATTGCTGCATTAAAAAAGCTTTAGCAAATGGAAATTTTGAAAATTTTAAGCAAAATTCTTGAAACTGATCTCTCTTGCCTCTCGGGAGTATACGGTTGGTTACTTGACATGGACTTGTTGGAAAAAAATTAGCACAAAAGAACTTGGAATTAAGGGTAATGTCTTTCGATTCCTTTATGCCTCTTTACTTCGGGCCACTGATTCATCTCTGTGGTGGGGATTTCTCTGTCATGGTTAGAGACTTGGAATGATTCGAACCTAAAAAGAAATAAATGCTAAACTTAACTGGATCAGAATCCAGTTCCTTAAAGAACATTCTTTCATGTAATTGAACTTAAAGAATGGAACTGCCGGCACAATTCAGGCAAGAAATATTAATTGACATGCACTTCAACACAACTTCATCTTACTTAAAATGGCTGAGAATATATATAGCCCATGTTCCTGAAATTTATAGAGATTCTATACCACACACACACACACAAGCATTATCTCTCTGGTGGGGAATAAACATCATTACCGGCCACCAATGGGTGACGCAAGCATGGGCTTTGGAATTTTAGGCAACCAGAGATGCCTGAGGACATGTAAATATATAGAATCTCTGGACAATCCATCTTCTAAATCTGATTCTGTACGCTGGTTATCAAAAACCTTGTCCCATCAACATCTTCTATCCATATATATACATAACTCTGACAACTTAGTACCAGCCAGCCCCAACTTTTGTCCCTAACTTTGATTCGCATGTCAGGTCATTGTAATATCAACACACTTGGGATTTCTAATATCAGAATGAAAATACATATCAGGATTATCACCTTTTTTAATATATAAAGACGAGAAAGAACAAGAGATGAGTTGAAGTTGTTTATATAGTAATCTTTAATTAGTTCCCTGCTCCAAAATAAAAGAGCTCTTGTTGGGTTATCGAGCAGTGACAACGAATTAATACTGTGGTGGGGATGTGGAGTTATGCAAGTATTTTGGAATTGTTTAAGTTGATTTAACTAATAAATAAGTGGACAATAGTGGATGATTAAGCAGCATTATATGTAATTGGAGTATATATGTGAGACACACAACAACATTGCCGGCTTGATCCAGAAGAAAAAGCAAATGAGATACGAAATCTGTCGAAAGAGCTTCAAGATATGTCTTCTCATGATGCCATCGCCCACTATATAGTTTTAAAATTAGAGGAATTAATCTAGCTAATTGAGCCAAATAACATGTCTTGAGTATTTCTGTTAACCCCGACCCGAAACTTGAGAGACTAATTTAAGATCATTTTAAAGGGAGGATGTCAAGATGTAATCAGCATCATACACCTGATCCAACAAATTAAACACCCACTAGTTAATGCAACGTGAATGTACGTCCACTCATATATATATATATATATATGCCTTCCCCTTGTTTCGTCATCAAGGTTGGATGATGAACATACAAAAATGTCAACACCACAAATCAACTCATCAGTCTCCTTTCATTATTATTGAAGCGTTTGGAAGCTACTGTTACTCAGGCTGATCTCTCCACTTCAGTAATTAAGAGGTGTGGGACATGGGACATATATATTCACTAATTAAAATGCACTCCACTTTCTGCTCTATGACCAAAATCATGGCCACGTATGTGCGACTCTGTGTGTGTACACACACACACTATTAGCTATATAATGCAATACTCTATAAACTATTTTAATTTGATTTGAAGCTGCCTGGGTGAGGACGTCGGCAACAAAATAATGAATCTAATCATGAGGCTAAAGTAGGTGACATCACATATATTACCCCTTCAATACTTAATACTACCTCCGGTCCTTAATATAAGACCTTGTTTGACTTTTATTTTGGTCCTAAATATAAGACTCTAATCCACTTTGTCTTTCATATTTATACATTTTTTCTCAAAGTAATCTTTCTAATAATAGTAGTTCTAGATGACAAACTTGATTAGCAAGGATATTTTAGAAAAAACAACAGCTATTCATTTAAAATAACTAACTTAACTAAGTTTCTTAATCTCTTCAAATTAGTCAACTAGATCTTATAATTAGGACCGGAGGTAGTATAAAACCTTGTTTGATTTTTATTTTGGTCCTAAATATAAGATCCCAATCCACTTTGTCTCTCATATTTATATATTTTTTTCCCAAGGTAGTCCTTCTAATAATAGTAGTTCTGGTCAATACACTTGATTAGTAAGGATATTTTAGGAAAGACAGCACCTATTTATTATAAATAACTAACTTAATTTAATTCCTTAATCTTCTCAAATTAGTCAACTAGCTCTTATATTTAAAACTGAAAGTAGTATATATATATATTAATACTAAAAGTAGTTTTGATTATAATATACGACTAAATGCTGGCTTAGTCATGAGATATATGGCACGGCTGGACAAAACCATCCGATTGTTCCAGGATGGTCTTGCTAGCCGTGCGATCTTAATTATGATTAGTGACATTTTGAGAATCGCTGGCTGAGATGTAAAGGAAATAATTGCGCAACTTCGGTTCTCCACATATGATTAGTATAATACTAATATTGCTATATATATCGGCAATGTGTTGAACACTCGTTAACTCTGGAAGGCACCTGAATAGAAAACACAGAAGACAAGTTTTCGTGCAGCCGTGGATTCGTGTGGTGGAAATTGAGTATGTAACAGAGATATTTATTGAGACTTATTTTATTTTTCCCCCTTTTTAATATTTAAATAATAATATTGGTGGATGGTTAAAGTTAAATGGTAGGTGGAGAGTGTTGAAACTGACTTGTGGAAGAAATTAAACAGAAATGTGGAGAGGGAACACACATTGAATTCAATCCTTAGTCACTGCGCATTCCAATTCTTCAATCCTTTTCAATCATCAATGAACTTAGCTTCCGTCCGCCCCACCAAAAAACAAAAAAAAGGAAAGGAAAAACTCAGCCTGGCTTTTTTATTTCCTCCTGTATGCATTTAGTGTTTTATCTGAAAATAAAGAGACGCAAAATAAAACAGTCTCTTGAACACGAAATCAAAACTGATAATTCTATTACCGAAAAAAAACTGATAATTCCGATTAAAAGTAGGAAAAATAAATTTTCATCAGATTGAACTAAAAATTTAAAATCATACATTTCTCTGAGTTAAAATTTGAGAGATATAAGAGTATTTCAATTTAGGCACGTCTGATATTGGGAAAGAGACTTTACCCTTTCCGTCGTCTTCGCGCATAACTCGTTTATTCTTGTGCGTGCGCCATTTGAAAGAGAAATGGTAAAATAGTCAAAAAGCACTCTGCAACTTTTAATAAAAAATTTAAATTATATATATTTGTGTTTTTCATGTTCCTTGCGAAAATGTCTTTTTAAACTTTATGATCCCTTTAAAGGTTAAAAAGAATTGATCCCTTTAACTTTTAAAAAGCTTTTTGTCCATTTTGCTTCAACATATACGAGATTTATTTTTCTTATTTTCTTGCCACATACTCAATATAAAAGGAAAAAAGTCAAAATTTCATAAATAAACATATGAAGGGTGAAATATGCCTCGATTTTATTAAATTATAAATATTGCAAACACCGTGGATGTCTATAGTTTTCATTTTTAAAAAAATTGCAAATAAAGACTCCCGAATATGTAAAATTATGATTTGAGACCCTTAATTTGAAAAATAGCAAATAAGGACCTGCTCTTAAATTGTAAATATGAAATTTTGGTGAAATATCTGAAATGCCTCTCAGCCAAATTGTAATTTGGTCTACTGAAGTTGTTATTCCCTAAAATGAATTTGTCTTTTTACATAATCAACTTGTCATTTGACATACCCTCAACCAAGTTGTCATTTGATCTGCTGAAGTTGTTATTTGTTAAAGTAAACTTGTTATTTTTCATATCCAACTTATTATTTGGTTGAGGCACGTTTCAGACATTTCACTAAGATTTTATATTTACAATTTGAAACCAAATCTTCTAAAGCTATTTTTCAAATTAAAGATCCTAAATTGTAATTTTATATATTCACGAGTCTTTATTTACAATTTTTCCTTCATTTTTTGAATTCAAAAGAGTGCGATATTGGAGTTTACATTGATCACGCCCAAAGGCCTGCCGTTTACTGAAGTCAGAGTAAGAGGATAGCTCTTTTAATTAATGTTTTCTATTAATTTTACCATTCAACTCAACTATTTTTTAAAAAAAAATTAATGGGTTTTGGGTTTTGGAGTTTGGGCTTCGGTTTCTGTTAATGGAAAATATTTTTGGCCCAAAACAGTCAGCTTGTTATTTCGTTTCAGTCTTACTGAAATGGACTCAAAAACAAACACAAGACAAAAAACTGCTGCTGGGAATTTTTATCCCTGGCTGGCCCATGAACATTGCCCTGTACAGGAGTCATTCTTTTTTTGGGCCTTTTGTTAAGGGCAGTTTTTCTCATAT